TATTTTTTTGGTACCAGGGATTGAACTCAGGACCTTGCGCTTGCGCAGTAGGCAGTGAAACCACTGAGCTAAATCCCCGGCCCTCTAGTTCCTGTCTATGTAATTTATTAGAAGTAGTTCTAGTTCCTCTTTTTTAAAAATTTTTTTTTTTTTTTTGGTACCGGGGATTGAACTCAGGACCTTGCGCTTGCGCAGTAGGCAGTGAAACCACTGAGCTAAATCCCCGGCCCCTGAAAGACGATAGCTTTTATTAGGATGAAAAACCACTTCAGAAAAGCTAAAATAGAACTTAGCTTATTTTGGCCATCCGGAAGGCACATATAGTGAATGTGTTATGTGGGGCTTCTTCCATGTGTGTAGAATTTTGATTTTTGTCATTGCAGTAGTTTGCACCTGAAGTGTCTCCCGGAAGCCCAGCTGTTATGGGCGGAGCCCCAGTTGTGGTGGGAAGTGGAGGAGCTGGGAAAGGTGGGGCTGGATTGGAGGGAACAGTCATTAGGGGCGTGGCCTCTGGGATATTAGGACCCTCCCTCCCCAGTTCTCCCTCCACACTGCACATTCCCACCCTTCCCTGCAGCCCTGGAATGAAACCCTGAAGCCCTTGCCAGAAAAAGCCTTTCATCCTTTTAGCTTGATTTCTTCCAGGTCTTTGTTACAGTAATGGAATGCTGACTTGTACAATCATCAGTTTTGCTTCTAGTTGTCCCCTAAGTCCCAGGCTTGGTTTATTTAGTTTTTGGTTTTTGAGACAGGGTCTCACTATATAGCTCAGGCTGGCCTCGAACTTGTGGCAGTCCTACTGCCTCAGCTTCCTGAGGGCTGGAATTACAGGTGTGTTCCACCACACCTGGCTACAGCCTTCATTTTGAGGAGAAAGAGTATTCATTCTTACCTCTTACTAAGGAAGTCTAGTTGAAAACACAGGGAAGTAGGTAACTGGTAAGATACTAAATGATATCCTTTCTCAGAATGCAAGCTTTGTAGTTTTTACTCTTGGTTGATTAAACAATTGAAACACAAACCTGGCAGGGCCTGTGTTCCTTCTGTGACACCCGTGAGAGG